TGTCTTTCACCAGGCTGCTCTTCACATCATCTGGTACTGATTTTATGCTTAATTTCTCTGCGATCTGCATTCAGAGACATGAATGTTATGTCCCGCACATTAAATCCATAAACAACATGGTAGCAGAAATAAATGAACCATACGGATTTATATCTGAAGTAATTCAAGGGCAAACCTGACGATTCACAAGATTTCCAGGAAGTAATTCAAGGGCAGAAGTTGCCAATCTCTGACCATACCATTCTCCAAAAAGCTTCCTGATCGATAGAAGCTCTGGTAGATCGCCAGATCTTACTCTTGCTGATGCAAATATAAGACTTGACACTGCTTCATTGATATCATTAGGACAGTCCCTGAACCCATGGAAAGTAAGCATCACGCATTTGCTGTTTCCTACTTCAGCTTGAATGCCAGGTCCAAAATACAAGAAGACATGAATTTACAGAACAAATCTTGCAATTGCTTATGAACATACCTGTTTCTCCGGATGTAAGATAAGTTAAGGATAATAAATTCACAGAATTGGTCCAGCAGATCATACGCTGCCACCTTACATTCATCTTTGAACAGCTGCTCTACCTGAAAATTTGTTAATAAAGAAAATGAAAATGGGAAGATCCGTTCTTAGGTTTATTCATGCATCTATTCCAAATTTGCCTGGAATTTAATGAAAAAGCACCTAATAACTCATGAAGCTGATCCTTAAACTCAGCGAACAGAGACACAAGGTTGAAGCCTAGGCTTGAACTGTTGAATACAATGCTTTTCTCTATTACTTGATATAAATTTTGTTCAAATTTGACTTCATAATTATGTGGTGAAACAAAAACTGAACTAATTTGCTTTATGTATCCTGCAGAAAAGATCCTTGCTTGCAACTATAACAGCATTATGACCACCAAGTAAGTTCATTAAATCTCTCCCAACAGAGCCGAGCAGGCTAACCGCGGAGGGAAAATATTGTTCATCTGTTTTAACTCAATCAGATTAACTCTTCACATAATTAATCATACCATGATCACTAGAACAGGGGCGATCACATAAGGCAGAGAAATCAAGATCAACAAGCCATAACGATGATTTTTTTTTTCAGAGATTGATTTTGGTGGATAGGCAAAGGTGATCATACCCTATCAAAGGCAGTTTGGGCATGGCCATGTTTGAGAAGCTCAGCCAAATCCTCCCTCGACTGCCTCACAATAGTACTTTGCTTGTTCTTGAGAATTTTGAGACGGCACTGAACCCTTCTGATCAATTTCTTGCTGCAAAAGAACCATCAAGAACTCCGTCTTAGTCATGATCATACATAACAAACACCAGTAACGAATACTACACTAAAAAAAAAGAAACTCATCCTGAATTAGCAAAAACTATTGATTAATACTAGTGTAGTAGTACCACTTAGAGGCTTTTCTCCATCCGAAAAGAATATCAAACATGTTTGATTAGACGTCCAAATAAGCCTGTTTTGGTTGATGCCGGTTAGAAAAGATGAAGAAGCAGCTGAGACCGATTACAACTAATTAATAGTGGGTGAATTTGAAGTACAAAAGGGCTGAGGGTGGATACGAAGAAGATGGCTTATTAATCTGCCAGCTGCCGAAAGCCGAATAAAGAACGGACAAGAGTTTAGACAGGAGCTAATATATGATCATGATTAGGATGAACTGAACTACTGCTACTCCTGAAGACAGTTGAATTCGATCTTCATGAGGCAGTTATTTCAGAAGTGGAAAAGGAGAAGTAGTGGGGTTGAAACTTGATATAAGCTAGGACTTTTGAGACTTGAGGTGGTAGGATAGTCGTCTCAACTCCTCCTAGGAAACTGCTCCACTACGACGCTGTAAGTGTTTGGAACAGTTATCAGAACTTGAGATACGCTAGGACTTTCCTTGTTCTGTTTTTCTTTTTGTTTTACGTTACCATATTATTGTTGAATTCGTTTTTTCCCTTGAGAAGAAAGTGGGCAATTCATGAACTTATAAACTTGATTTTGAGTATGATTGTACTACTTTTCAGTTGATAATTCTATGCTTTTTGAGCCCTTGAATGCGAAGACAGGCCCACAATGTATACTTTTTTTTTTGTTTTTCTTTAAAAGTTGAGTAGTGCTAATTACTTTTGTGAGAATAAATGCTGCAGAATTTCTCACTTCTAGTGTTTCAATTAGTTTTGTGGAATATCTTACTCTTCAAGGAAGTCATATACACAGTTCAACTTTTCTTGGCCCTTTATTCCGACCAATAATAACAAGTATTATTTGTTGAAGCAAAGGGAAAAGTACCCTTTGCCCCATCCCACTGGAGCAATATAATTGAGGCTGCTTTCAAATTAACAATTTGAGCAAGCCCATCCCTGTCAATCACCATTAAGTATCAGTCATGCCTCTTAACTTCAACATCTTACTTTCTTTTTCACATATGTCCATCCACAAATATTTCTCTCAAAGGAATTAGATTTTGGTAGTTTTCTAAATTAGAATCATGGAATTGCAAGAAATATTTTCTTTCTTTTTTTTTTTAAGCAAAAGAGGGGTGGAATTTAAGAAACGGAGAGAGGACATCTTAGAACGCAGAACCTCTACATTCCGGAGCGTCAACACTAGCCGCTCCATTCAAGAACTTGTATGTTCTTACCACCCTATTTAAGCAACAAAGAACATAAACTGCGACAAAGTATTTCTGGAACTTGTCTTGAGGTTTGTCGAGTTATAGTTAATTAGTTGTCTCCTTTCCCCTTTCAATAATTTCCCTCGCTAAATTTGACTCCATAAAGTCATCCCTCATTGAAAATAAAAATTTGTGGTAAGATTAATTCGAGAAAAATGGATCATACTTCATAAATCAGGAAAAAAAAGAAGTGTGTGATTATAGCAATTAGACATCTAAAGGAGGTTATAATTAGCTAAACTACCAAATGAAATCAGAAGAAAAATTAGTCAGAACTTGTGGCCGCATGATAATCAGGCTATCATGGGTTCCTCTGTGCAGACCATTTTTGCGCAGCAACCTTAAAATGCACGCACTGACAATTCCTCTTCATATTTCTTGTCCGAAATATGTTGTACCTCTTTTTTTTTTTTTTTTGAGTCAAACAACATGTTGAAGTTGTAGCTGCAAATTGGATTGTTAGAGAACAGAGAGTCAATGAAACAGGTTATCAAATTCACTTAGCCGGAATCACTAATGGGCAGTAGAGGGGGGGTTGGTGGCCAACTGAATCCATGGCATGGAAACGTGGAAACGTGCAGTACTGGGGATTGGGGTTTCTTGGCAGCGCATGATGCTGAAAGCTAGGCACCATAAACTACTCTTCATAATTATGCCCCATGTACTGAATGTCAGGGAAACTTTACTACTGGCACATAAGTATGGGAGAATATAATCTGTATACCAGGCAAAACATTACATAAATAGCTCTATTAATGTAGGGCTGTAATCGAACCCAACTAGTCACGAGTAGATTGGTCAAAAACTCGATTCGGATTCGAGTTTGAATAGCTCGATAGGCCTAGAAAGTCGAGATCGAGTATTTAGTAGCAAGACTCGAAGGTTTCGAGCCTGATCGAGTTTTTAAATTTTAATTCTTTAATATATTATTATTATTATGAAATTACTCTTGTGCCCATAAGAGTGGTTGAATTTACAAAATATTTCAGGTCATGTGAATTTTTTTGAAGGACGATAATGTCTTTTCGCTCAAAAATTGTCCAAAAAAAAATGAAATTCCCAAATCTTCATAACTCGAATTCGGTAAGACTCGCATTGACTCAAGCCCCACGTGAATCGAACTCGAGTTCTGTAAGCGATGTATCGAGCTCGAGTTCAAACTCCAGTAATGCCACTTGTTCGAGCTAGAGTATCCTTTTTGATGATTGAGTCGAGCTCAAGTATGACGATATTCGAATTTGACTCAACTCAATTACATCCCTATATTAATACCAAAAAATATATATATACACACACACCACCACCACCACCACCACCAACAACAATCATCACTCACTATGTAAGTAATTACATAAGGAAACTAATATTATTAGAGATGGGTACCGATTTTACACTTCTAATGTTCATGTCTTGGCTTTTAGTACTAGTTGGAATATGCTGAGTGGTTCTCTCATCGACACTTGAGAATTTGCCTTATAATTTACTTATGCATTATCATGTATTTATGTATTAGTATCAAGTGTTACATTCGACCGATTACTTTTTCTATATTGTGACAGATAGCCTTTATTATTTACCTATAAAAAAGGATAACTATAATAATCAATTCTAGATAATTTATATACCTATATGTCACTTGTTTCATGTATTGTGCAAGTAGTAGCTAGTTTATACATTACTTACCTTTCCAGGTCAAACCCAATAAGGAAGGAACAGAAGAAAAGGTCAAAAGCAGCAGAGATTTGTTGGGAAAAGAAAAATCGAATCTTTTTTTTTTCTCCCCAGTTGGGCTTCTTTGGTAAAATCATAAGGATGTGTAATTAGCAAGTCTGAATTGTGCACTTGCAATGATTTACCTCTTATAGAGAAGAATAAATATACTCAACCTGTTTCTTAATTTGCTTGTCATGGTTTTGTTATGCACTATATCCCTGAGGGACGTCCTATTCTCCATTGGAAGTTCTGGACTTTCACTTTCAATTGCTTCAGCATGAAATTGGAACCTGGTCTATTTCTAGTATATTAGTAATTGGATGACATTTAAAGTTTTGTTTCAGAGCCCTGAATCTCATTAACCTTTGTTAGACCTTAATCAATTTGTATCTACAAGAATCTTCTTGAAATGTTGCATTGACAACAAGGGAGGAGGGATATTGGAGATGATGCCGAGCTACATTTCTTGAATGCCAACATTGAGGAGGATATTTAGAGCCAAAAGTGTAGACAATATTTTCTACGTTTGATAGATAAGCACTAACTAAGACGTTGGAAAGAAGCAGATGATAACTGCTCTCTATTAAAACGCTTAATAGTCTTTGCTTGCTTTTGCTAGTAACCAAAACTTTCTTGTATGCACACTAATTCTCAATGAGTTAGTACAATTTTTTTGGATTCCAGATACATCATGTCATTGCACCTGAATCCAGCGCTTCAGTTCAAAAACTACAGGAGATGTTACAACAATGGTTCTAGGCTGTCGTTTGCCAATAGGAGATATGCAGAGATTACTGCACTTGTTTGAGGATTCTATGACTTCACTACTATCACGCATCACTATGTAGTACTCGACCTAGTTCCTTGGTCAAACTGTCAGCTCGCTCATCTTGTCCCCCAGCGAAGGTATAGACTCGAAACGCTAGCTGAAAAGCCCTCCATAGCAGTTTCGTGAGTGCTTTTCGTTTTCCTTCAGTTGCTTCTCTTCGTTCCTGGTGAGAAGTTCATAGTAATTGTAGGGTGCTAGAAAGGGTGAAAAAAATGCAAAAGAGGTAGGTAGCAAATACTTGAATAGTTACCTTGAGTGCCAACTCCATGCAGGCTGAGGAAACATCCACCATAAGTTCCTTGATTCTTATCAATATGTTGAAGTCAAAAACAATATCATGACTTCGAAGATGCTTAGAATCTTCATCTTTGCTCCGGTCCAATAATTCTATATCTACTTTAATCTGGTTGAAGAGTTCATAATTCTCAGTATCTCATTCTTTGATATTGGTTAATTTAGGCGTAAGATCATGAGATTTACCTTGTTGAAATAGCGTTCCACCTTGTCGAGCATCATCTCAACTGGAGGCTCAGTTTTCCAATGCTCCAGGGTAAAAGCTATTCCTTCCAATTTTGAGTGCAATGCAGCGGCTATCCGCAATGATTCCAGCTTCTTTGTAGGAAAATCTTCAAACCTTGCCAAAACCTGTGAAAGCAAAAGCATGTTTTATGTCCTTCTAAACTTTGAATTTGCTGAACCTGCTCAAAATCTGAGATAACTCACCTGAGTCTCATCACTCAATTCCTCTAGATGTTTCTCTACATCTCTACGGAACTTTTGAAGCTCAGCCATGTCTTTTGTCTTAAAGGAACATATGTCATCTCTCAGCTTCATGATCATTTCAGAGTGCTTGTGAACATCTTCTTCAATCTGATGAAAATATGCTGATCTGAAATCCAAACAAAGAGATCATGCACCATGAAGCATCATCATTTGCCATATCTACTTGTCTATTGTAACACAGTCCGTGGTGAATAGTTATTTCCACTGTAAAGTACCTTTTTGTCATTTCAGCAAGGGCTGCAGCCATTCCTTGTTTTATGCTGGTAAGACCACCAACCCGACGATTTATCTTATTAGATATTGCATCAGTAACATTTGATCCTTCCAGTTTTCTTTTGAGATTTCGATACAAGTTTCCCATATGATTTGATCTCCTCAGTTTTGAATTTGATCTCTTCAGGCTTGGGAATTTTCGAACCCCCAATCCTGGAGGAGGAGGTGGAGGCGGAGCAGTACCATTTAGCCGTGAAACCCCAACTGTTGGAGGATGAGGTGGAGGTGGAGCCGCAAGGGGTACTGGAGATGTGGGAATGGATGGGAGTGATAAAGACCGGCTTGCTTCTTTTGGCCTTCTTGCGTTAAGCATGTCACTCAAATTGCTCTTAGGTTTGATTCCAGACTTGGGACTACTTGTGACTTCATTCGTTGCTATTCTTGGTGATCCTTCAGTGGTGCTTTTCGCTTTGCTAAAGTTCTCTGTTTGTTCATCCGCCTTCTTCCTCCCCTCTTTAACAGGAACAGTGCCTTGTAATGACACCGCAGGACATATGTCCGTGGAGATGCATTTTTCCACTGTCTGAAGTAAAGTGGGGAGAGGGTTAGAAGCATCAGCAACTGCACTGGGTTTCATCAGACCAGTAGGGACTGAATTGGGTGATGCTAGAGAAGAACAGGTGTTTTTGATATCTGGAGACATTTCTCTTAAAACGTCTTTATTGCTTTTCTCATCTTCATGCATGACATCAAAATTCTGCCTTGCAGTTTTAATCATATTGTCAAGCTCTTCAATCACTCGTCCACCTTGCATGCACAGAAACTGTAAATTTCCTTTAAAAAAGTCATTTATCAACTCTGAAACATGGAAACAGTTCAATAATAAAGAAAAAGAACTTACCAAGTTGCTTCGAGTTTGTAGCATTTGAGCTACCATCTGCACAGTGCACAGAGTCAGCAACTAACATACGATTGTTGTCCCAGACGTCTCCTATAGATTTTAGAGCCTCGTAAAGATTGGACATCTCCTGGACAAACATCCTTCATCGTGTGAATTCATGTATTTTCAAGAAGTATTATATCTATACTGAGGTACTTAATATTGAATAAACCTGCTGTAATGAAACTTCTTTGCTTTCTTCGATATTCGGCAGGATACTGGGATACAACTTCTTAAGATCCTCCAAAGTTCGCACGACCAACTGAAAGGGAAGTAAAAGTGAGAAATTTATGTCAAAGTCCAAATTGTAAACCTTACTGATTTAGCTGCATTTAGACATAGTACCTCAGCAATTGCAGTAGCATTAGCACAAGGTGGGAGGTGAAGAATGTCTCTAAAGGTTATTATCTTCTTCCTGAGTTCAAACATCAACATCAAGTCTCCTATCCCTCCGCGAGAATTGGCTACTTCCAGGCCTGTTGCTTCCTTGTTAACTTTGGACACGTTCATGCTTACTTTTGCCTATTAGGAACATGGCAAAATACAAGTTACTCAAACATCCAAGTTCAGGGTTAATTGATGTAGGGAAATTTTATCTGTTAAGTTTGCCAATAAACAAGATCGACCGTGTGTTTGTTCTTCTAGTATCATCCTTTTCTTTAGGCAGTTCTTTTAGTGAAATATACTAAAACATTCTTTTCCGTTCTGCTACTAGTTGCTAAACCGGAATGTTTCAAACATGAGCCAATTGCAGACAAGAGATCACAAAACCACGCATAAACTTGTTCCTTGACAGATGCAATGTCAATTGAAACTTTACCCTGCAAATATACCCTGAGATGATCATCGTTGTGCTTTACCTGTCGTTTACAAGAACTTTGTCTCAAAAGAGAAGAAGGGGCAGGATATAATCCACGAGCCATGGCTGATAATTGATTTCAGCCCGATGTTGAATTCAATGATGATGCGGTGATCTTTAAGCAATTATCTTGCTATTCTCAAGAACCTCCAAATCTCGAAAACACGGTAAATCTCCTTAAACAAAACACCAACAGTTCCTTTTGAAATATTAACCTGTAGAAAAAAATTGAGTTCTTATATCACTAATGCCTGCTTTGGTCTTGAATTGGTTAAATGCTGATGGATATATGAGGGAGATTGGAGGGAAGAGAAAATTGAAGAAATTTTGTTCATGATGCATCAGAACTCAGAAATCCCTCTCCCTCCATTGGAGGGCCTTCAGCGAAGGCAAAAAGATGGAATGTTTTGCAGCTTCTTGCAAGATTTATAACTGCTAACTCCATCGTCCTTCGATTCAGGACTTGAAGGGTAAAAAGCTATGCCACTTGTTTTTAACGCATAAAATTCTGTGATCAGCCGTCAAGAGAGAAATCAAGGCAGCATTCATTAGTCTAACAAATGTCGACACCTACGTGATTGGCTCCATACTACAATCTTCTAGTCTATAAGCCCTTGGACGTGACAAAAGTACTACTAGAAAAGAGGCTTTGAGCAAAAAAAAAAAAAAACTTCCCTGATAAAATCTCTCCCTTGTATGTTCAATTCTACGTCAGTAATTCTTGTTTCGATGTATGTAGAGTTTCATCTCACTCAGGAAAATTGTGACACTCTTTGAAATTTTCATGTTTTAATTCACGTGGATTTCCTGTAAAACAAAATAGATTATCACGCCTCCAATCTGCCATTTCTCTCAGACAAAGCTGCCATTTCTCTGGGTGGTTGGGGAGTTAACGAGCAATTCATAAAGGGTTTCAATCAGGATCTCATTTCTCTCGGACCCTTTGGTTTGCTTTTGTCTTTAGAATATAGATTTTGTAATAGGTAAAAAAAAATTAAAATTTAAAATCCATCAAAGAGTAGCTTTTGCTTCTCTTAATTATACCATATAGACGCTTTGAATAATCAGCTTTTGTAAAATCCAAAGCAAATGAGAACAAATACACTGGCTCAAGTTCCCTATTGGTCGCTTTTGAATTGCAAGATAGATAAGATAACACAATGCATTATATAATCAGCATCATATCATTATTGTGTTTTTGAAGAAACCCGCATTTGTTCATGAAAATCACCACTGGACTTCTTTTAAAAATTTGGTGCCATTCGATGAACGAGTATCAATAACATTTCTTTATTTTTGCATGCATAAATTACAAAGAAGAATATCAAACAATTTTTTTTCTGTTATTAACCTGAGCTGGAAGTCAAAAATGAACTACAGTTTTGATGGAGATCAAAGCATACTTTTTCTCTATAAATAAATATATATATATATTTATATATAACACTCTTGAGAGATGACATGTTACAAGTAGCAATCAAAGAAGTTGTTTTTGTTCTCTCGTGTAAATACTTAATTTACAAAATCAAGAATAGTGGCCCTGGAGGATCCTTAATCACTAACTCTTAATCAACCACCAACATTCCTTGAGAAGAAAGATTAGCTGCCCCAGCATAGATGCATACATACATATTTGTTCTCATGAATTTCTAAGAAGGTAAGGGTTACAGGGGCAGGATACAGGAAACAAGAAAAGGGTGGAGCAGTTAGAATTGAAACCTCTTCCTAAAACAAGAAAACAAGGTGCTTGACCTCTAGAACTACATAGGATCATCCATATGATACCAAGCATTTTACTTAGATCTCATAATGTGAGGTCAAAATCGTATTTGCTTGATAAGATCCCAATTTTCTTGCCCGGAGCTAGATTATCCACCACCAAAGTACAATTAACGAAAACGTGAAATTGCCTGGAGGAAATTTCCCCCACAACAACACTCACAGGAACTTGAATCCGCACCAGCAATGGAATCCTTCCTTTTTCTTTGCTATCTTGAAGAGCCTGTTGAAGACCTGTTCCAAATTCACTCCTTCCTTTCAACTCAATTTGGATCAAAGTTGTATTATGAGGGCCCTGATGAAAATTTGGCAGTGATCCCGAGCAAAGTCTAGAATCTGTGTATTCCACAAGGACTGAGCTTCCCTGACCATATGTGAAACCAATGGCTTTGTTCATGTTGTCGGCTTCCACAGTTACCAAAAACACAGTGTTGAGGCTGAAATCAGGCAGGAGATCAAAGGATTTGACATCCAGGCTTTGAACTTTGTAGGAAGGCACCTTAGGTTCGTAAACAGTGTAGAAATAGAAAGCCAGGACGGAGACGATGAAGATCAGGAGGAAGAGAATGCAATAGCAACAGCAAATGCACCTCAGGCAACTACTTCCACCTGATTTTTTTGGGTAGTAGTCGGAGTTATACCGGGGTACATTTCGGCGACCAGAAGGAGGCGGGCCGTAGTTGCCATTTTTCTTTCCCTGACCGTCCAACATGACATAGGCAGGCGGTGGTGGAGGTGCATTCATTGTGGAGGATGATATGGCATCAACCAGGCAGCGTGTAGGCTTCTTGGAGCCAAATCCATCAAATTCGGAGAACCACCAAAAGCACTGAGAGAAAGAAAGGCTCTTGTTTTTCCTCTCATGCTTTTGTCTAGACCCCTTAATGTCCAAAAGAAGACATGAAGACGGATAACCCGAGATCAATGCACTATGCTACATTAGTTTGGCTATTTTTAGAGAGATTGATCAACAACATTTGGCATTTCTTGCGCCGCCTCTTATCAGTTAAACTTTACTCATTCATAAATTCCTCAGATGATCTTGACCAAATCTACAAGAAACGATGATTTTGCTTATCCAGCCTTTTTTTTTTTTTTGGAGCATTTTCATCACAAGGTCTTCTCTAAATCCATGCAACAGGAAATGGGAATACTGATCAATTACAGGGTTTCTTTTGAATTTATTCTTCCTGATATATATTCTTGTCAAAGACAAACATTCGGTCTACAGCCCATAACATTTTTTTTTTAAAACCTTTTCTTCTGACTACTACTCCTATCTTAACCTACCAAATTGGAGATTCAAAAGCAATTTCCCAAATATGATTCAACATGCCATCCAACAGGAAATAGAACTACATTACTAGACCAAAGCATATTGAGGCCTTATGACCTAAAAACCCTAAAAATACAAAGAAAAGCAACCAAAAAAAAAAAAGGAAAAGGACTTCTAAACTGACTTGCAAATTTTGAAAATGAACAGGAAAAGAGAATTGGACATCTCTGTCTTTTCACCCAAATAAATAGTTGATTAATGAAACTTCAACAAAACCTTGCAATTCTTGAAGGAGAGGATGCACAAATGGCCGATCCAGAATTGCAAGATTTCAGAGTATCAGCTCGCATGAACGACAATACCGAAACTACAACCGTTTTCACCTTGACTACAAACTTCTTCAGCTTCCGCACCCCAGATTTGCGTGAAGAATCCATGGATCCCAACTTGTATGTTCGGAGAAAAATCTGCCTTTGCCTAGCCCTTTTACGTCTATAACTAAAAGAATAGTTCATCATCACAGGACTCTGCCTGTGCTGCTGCTTTTGACTCCTTGGCCTAGGAAATGCTCTCTGGCCAAAAGAATCCGCCATGCTATAAGGGCTATACTGCTCCTTGTCACTCCTCCTTGGCCTAGAAAATGTTCTCTGGCTACCATTATCACCATCCTTTCTTCTCCAAGCATGATCACTAGCTTGATTCAAGGGCTCGTAGCCGTGGGCGCGACGGTGGCTCAACCGCAAAGTGGTGCTCCGCACCAGTGCTGTATCCATGGCAGGCTGGCCTTGCTTGGCTTGCTAGCTATGTACAGAATTATAACATCTAGTCATGTACAAATGAAACTCTACTAGCTTACATATGAAGAATAGACATGCAGCTTTGCGTATTAATCAATGAAATCAGGCTAAAATTTAAATTTTAAATGTGTATAAAATGCAAAATTTTGACCATGGTAGTATTTGTTTCCATTCATGGCGGCCGAATTAAATTTTAGCCATGGAATTATGTGAGAATTTGTGAATAGGAAGGGTCAATTATTCAACCATATGCGGTTTGCATAATGGGAAGGCAGTTTTTGGTAAGTTAATCATGTACAATATACCAACCTCGCTAAGAAATGGACAAATACGTAAATGCCAGCATAAGAGGCAAACGTGACTAAATGAATATGAAGATATTCAAAGATGGCCAAAATTTGACCTTTGACTAGCAATATTAAACCTGTTTCTTTTGTCTAGAAGCTGTAGTCAATGTCAGTTGAAGCAATCTCTTGACATATGTGATGTTTGGCTGATTCATTTCCTTGGAAGGAACAATTTCCTGGAAATGCTTATCCTCTTTGCTTAGATAAGGTCTTGATGTGAACTTTGTGGAGAAAAAGGATTTAGCCCACTAGGTTTCCTATGATAGTTGTAGGATTTTTCTATCTTGTCCAATCATAATTATTGTACTTAATAATGTATTTAAATAAGCTCTTTTCCAAACTAGCATAACACTTTTTCAAAAACATTAACACTTGAAACCCTCTTAACCAGCGTCGTCCTCCATTTAGGCATCCGCTGGCCAAACCGATTGTTACCTCATCAAACAGATTTTCTTGTCTTCAATAATCCCTTCCAATTATAATAATCTAAAAGGACATCAAACATGAAAAACAAATTAAAGCGATTAGAAAAGAAGATTAAAACAAATAAAAGATGTTATCGAAATTAAGTTAATCTAGACTACCCTGAAAGAAAATTAATCTGGACGAA